CAAGGATACTACAGAGCTGGAGAGTGGGGAATGAGAATAGGGCAAGTTAAAATGACACAGAACTCACTATATTTCCTGAAATTCAGTCACTTGTTTTGAACAAATGCTCCATGGATTGCTACAAGCCTTTGGTTAATTTCCAGAGTTCTAAAAAAGTTGATTTTGGCAAATTTTACCAGTGTTCTCATTGCTTTTATGAAGGAGAGGTTTTTCAGATGTCTTTACTCTTCCATTTTCACTGATGTCACCCCTGCACTGTTATTTCTATGTTACATTCTCACCATTTTCTAATCTGTCAGTCGTATTTACTGTTTTATTGAGTCCCTGCCCCTCACCCCTCTTAAAGATTGGAGCCTGTGTCCTCCTTATCCAGTCTTTTGATATTCTCCCTGGGCCTACAGCATGGCTTTTATCCTAAACATTTTGGATTGGATTCACTGTTTTCTAGATACAGTGCCTTGTTCTGTCTTGCTTTGACCTTCATTTTCCTGGAAAACTTTTGTAAGTAATTTCTTAAGAAAGTGATATGTGAGAAGAAATAGGTATGTATTCTTGCATTTTTGAAATGTCTTCTTCTTGCCTTCACTCTTGATTGATAGTTTGGCTAGGTATTGAATTTTAGCTTTAAAACTTTTCCTCAAAAAATTTGAGGGCATTGATCCTTTGTGTTTCTGTCTGTTATTTATTGCCACAACAATGATGAATAACAAAGTACCTTAAATAAGTCCAAACATTTATCATTGCTCCCAATTCTGTGAGTTATCTGGGCAATTCTTTTAGTCTCAGTTGGGATACTTATGAGTGTGGTCTGTTAAGAGTAGCTCTGTGACTGCTGATTTTAAATGGAATCACATATTTGGGAATTGGCTAGCTGTAGGCTGGTCTAGGATGACTTCATCTGGAGTGACTCAGCTATTTTCCATATCATTCTCTTATTCTCCCTCCATGTTAGCCTGAATACGTTCTCATGACAGTAGCAGGGATCCAAGAAAAAAGCTGAACACATACAAGCTCCTTTTCAAATCTCTTTTGCTAATAACTCATTGGTCAAAGCAAGTCATGTAGTTAAGCTAAGAGTCAGATGAGAGAAGACTACAAATTTACAAGGCAAAGGGTTTGATATGGTGAGATTATTATTTTGAGCCAGTAATGTGCTTAATTTATTATGGTGTTCTAGTATATAATGTGGCTGATGAGAAGTCTTGTACCAGTCTAATTCTTATCCTTTTGTTTTTGTTTAGGATTTACTCTTTATCCTTGACCTAAAATTTCAGAGTGGTGCATCTAGGTACATTTAAAAAATATTACTAAGAAGTAATTTTAATGTATACTTGGTGGATACTTTCAATCTGAAGATTTGTCCCTAAACCCTGAAATTATCCCCTGTGATAACTTTTTTTCTCATCATTTTCTTTTTACACTTTGAAGTTCCCATTAATTGAATCTGCTGGATTTGTTCTGCGTGTCTCCTGTCTTTCATAGAGTCCATGTTTTGGTCTTCTTATTCTGGGAGATTACCAAAATTTTGTTTTCCAGTCATTATACCAAATATTTATTTTGGCTATTTAAAAAAATTTCTAAAAGCACTTTCTTGTTCTCTTCCTTTTTCATTGCTTTCTATTTTAGTGTTATGGATGTAATTTCTGAGTAAATTATAAATTTTCTTTTGTCTTTTAAATTTTTTTCTTCTATACCTTGAATTATTTGTTTCTACCAAGGTCTTAAAATTGTTTTTTTTTTTTCTCTTTTTTTTTTTTTGGGGAGGTGGGGAGGTCTTTCTGTTTTATAAAGTTGGTTCTCCTCATATATATACCTGGTAGTCCTTAGTTTTCCATTTACATTCCTGATTAAAGTATAGGATAACTGGCATGTGCCTCCTTTATTATTTTATGCATAGCTTTATTTTCTAAATTTCTTTATTTCTTTATTTAAATGTCTTCTCTGAATGACCATTTTTACCAAGAGTCTATGTGGAGTGAGTAGTTTTCATCACCTGTCTTGCTTTAAGACCAAGGGATGGAGTAAGGTTAGTGCTGAGGACAGAATAGCCCCTACTCAAACATATGGGAAATTTTTATCCTTTCTGTTGCACACTGGACACTTTATTGTTTTGTATAGTTAAGTCTTCCTGTCTCTTAGCTCTCTAACTAGATTAAAGTGTGGGAACACTATTATATACATACTTTACCTCACAAAATTCTGCTTTGGCCAAGACAGTTGTGTAATTACATTGATTAATTAACCTGTTGCCAGAAGACTTTAATACTTGAGCAAGCTTCCCTTTCTTGCTAGAAAATGTTAACTGATCTTACTTGGTTAAGAATAAAAAAAACTTACTTCCAGTTTTACTCTAAGTTGTTTTTCTTACTAGAATCCCCTAATTAGTTTAGGTATTTCACATTCCAATAACTAAATTTATTTTGCAACTTCAGAGTTTCCTGGGATTTCCCATAGAGTCAGAGATATCTGCAGAATAATCTGGGAAAATTTTTGAAGTAGAAGAAGGAGTACGTGAACATCTACTGAAATTCTCATTAACTGTACTTAGAAACTGAACTTTATCGATTAAAAATTAGTTTCAATCTCTGTATGATATGTACCCCTGGAAATCTTCAAATCAGTATTTTCTAAGTTTTTGTTTCTCTTTTTTGTAAAGTTTATTTTGGAAAATTTCCATAATACAAATGTAGAGAGTATTATCATTAACTTAAATATCCATCACCCTGAATTATCAACAGTTCCCAATTTTGTTGCTTCTACTCCCTGCTACATTTTTTCTTCTGGAGTATTTTAAAGCAAATTTTAGTCATCATTTCATTTCACCTGTTTTTTTTTCTTCATAATCACTATGCCATTTTCAAACCAAACCAAATTTAAATTTCTTAATGTCATCTAATAGTACATAGTTCAGGGCTTCCCTGGTGGCGCAGTGGTTGAGAGTCCGCCTGCCGATGCAGGTGACACGGGTTCGTGACCCGGTCCGGGAAGATCCCACATGCCGCTGAGTGGTTGGGCCCGTGAGCCATGGCCGCTGGGCCTGCGCGTTCGGAGCCTGTGCTTCGTAACGAGAGAGGCCGCCAACAGTGAGAGGCCCGTGTACTGCAAAAAAAAAAAAAAAAAAAAAAAATAGTACATAGTTCAATTTTCCTTGTATCTCAGAAATGTCTTTTTTACTTTTTAGAATTAGGATTCAAGCAAGACACATTCACTACATTTGGTTATTATGTAAGTTCCTATCCTGTCTTTTGGAGTTCTGACTCCTTGTTTTTTTTTCTTATCAGTGTTGTGTTAGGGCACTGGTTCTCAGTTTTTGTGTTTTTTTTTTTTTTTTTTTTGCCTCAGGACTCCTTTACTCTCTTAAAAATTATGGGGGACTCCAAAGAGCTGTAATTTATGTGAATTATTTATAATTTAATTTGTTTTTAATTTATTGAGTTAATATTTACCAATTAGAAAATAAAACAAATTTAAAACATATATTAATAAAAATATTTTAAATAATTTTTTTCATTAAAAATAATAATAGTAAACCCATTGCATGTTAACATAAATAAAAATTTTATGAAAAATAATTAATTTCCAAAACAAAACTGATTTAGTGAGAAGTACAATAGCACTGTTTTACACTTCTACAGATCGCTAATGTCTGGCTTACTAGAAGGCAGCTAGATTCCACATCTGCTTCTGCATTCAAACTACTGCATTATGTTAATTTGATTGAAGAAATACATATGACTACATATATATGAAGAAATATATATATATGAAGAAAATCTAGCCTTCATACAGTTATGAAGTCCTGTAGCTTTTTTTTTCCCATGGATATTTATTTATTTTTACTTTTAATTTTTGACTCATATTTCTATTTTATTTTTTTTTTGTTTAACTTTTTATTTTATATTAGAGTATAGCTGATTAACAATGTTGTGATAGTTTCAGGTGCACAGCAAATCCACTCAGCCATACATATACATGTATCCATTCTCCCCTGACTCCCCTCCCATCCAGGCTGCCACATAACATTGAGCAGAGTTCCCTTTGCTATACAGTAGGTCATTGTTGGTTATCCTTTTTAAATATAGCAGTGTGTAAATGTCAATTCCAAACTCCCTAACTAACCCTTCCCTCCACCCTTCCCCCCCGCCGGTAACCATAAGTTCATTCTCTAAGTCTGTGAGTCCGTTTCTGTTTTGTAAATATGTTCATTTGTATCATTTCTTTTTATTTTTTAAAATTTTTTATTAATTTTTTTCATTTCTTTTTAGATTCCACATATAAGCGATATCTTACGATATTTCTCTTTCTCTGTCTCTGAAGTACTGTAGCTTTTGAAGAACTCCATAGTATTCTTGTCAGACAATAAAAGTGCAAAAGCAAATAATATCTCAGTGTTATTCTAAAGATAGTCTTGACCTGCCAGATCACATAAATAGGTCTCAGGGACCCTGGGCTTCTACTCCTTACACTGAGCCACGATGGCTCCCCCATCTCATAGAGGTGCTTGTCTTACTCTGCTCCATCTAATAGCTCTAGGACTGTGGTGTTTGGGAAGAAGCGAGAGTGGGACAGAACAGAAATCTTGAACTTTATGTATAAGTATTGAGGTTTATTATAGTACTGAAGAGTTAATTCTGAAACTTGTATGCGTATCACGTTGAGAGAGTGAGTAAAAATATTGATGTTGGGAACAAGGGTTCTTGCTGTAAGAAAAAGGAGAGACAAATGTAGAATTGGGAAGGTGAGGAAGAATCTTGTACTTTAATGAAGTTGAATTGGGGATATAAGTATGAACTAATCAATATGAATTTATAATGTTTAAAAAATGTATTTCCTAATTCTGTCCAGTAGAAGGGCATAGAAGCAATAGCATCATAGTAACAATTTTACTTGTGCCCAGATCTTGTCTTCTGAATCCCTGCTTTTGAGAAATGCCTGATTACAGTCCTGGGAAAGGAGGGCACAGGTGAGCCTTAAACACCTTGTGGTGCCAGCAGGCTGAGATGTGTGCAATGACAGGTGGGACCCCCAAAGGATATGGGAGCTACCTGGAGGGTCTCCCACTGGACTTAAACTATCTGTGTTTTACTGTTACTTAGCTATTTTATATTTGTCCATATTTATCAAGTCCTTGTATCTGTGACTCTTTACACAAATGTGAAACAAATTTGCAAGTAAGCAAATAATATTATAAAATCAAATATAAGTCAATGACCTGTTTTAATATGCATATTTTGTTGAAACTAAATTACCTTTTGTTAGGTGTAATATATTTACTTTGTGTGTTTGAGCTTCAGCTCTACAGATGCAGAGGATGCCTGCTTATATAAGTATGTTGTACAGAATAGCGTTAATAATTTCAAAGCTTTTAAAATAGTTCATTATAATCAGTTCACCCTTCATCAAAACTCTACCAAGGAACAATCCTAGATGTCACTGTCAATAATATATCATTTTAACTCTAAAGCTTCCATGTTTATTCAAGACAAGATTAGCATTGTGTTGTTATTGAATTCTATATTACAATGGCATCTAATCAAATTACTGGAGAAGAAAAATATCTGAAGTTCTTGATTTTTGCAGATGTTGAAAATGGTAATAGTTCACACACTGAGCCTGCTCTCAGACTGAGGCCTATCTGTAAATACTGGAAGTGATTTGTACACCCCATTTAAAAATGACATGACTGTAACTCAGGTTTCCCTATTCCTTTTCTTAATCCCTAGCTAGAAATTTTAAACTGTTGAAAACTTCTATTTCTCCCTTGATGGATGTGAGTACATTTAGATCTTAAGTCCATGTTTATGTTATTTCTCATAATTTGTGACAATTAAATTAGTACATTTCTTCACCATACCATGGTGTTCTTATATCAAATTGGCTTCAATGTTAGTACCTTAAACTGAAGTCTGTTTCTGTGAAAGACATGCTTTTCAACTATAGATTCTCTTGGTAAAAGGAAATTGTCTTTATAACTGATAAAAATAATTCAATACAAAAACAGTGCAGAATAGTTAGCTTGACATTAGGTCTTACCAAACGATAGCAGTTAGCCATGCTTATTCCCACATACAAAGTTAAGTTCTGTGACTTTAGGTGGTCCTTGGTGCTCCCATAATCATTATTCTTGGGGAGGCAGGATTCATCTTTGAGGTGGCTTTTTGGATGATGCAGGATATATTCACATAATTTTTAAAGTTGCCAAATAAAAAAATAAGCTTTAAAAACATTCCTAGAGCACTTGTAGACAGTCCACAGTATCCTCTTACCCCCACCAACCCACCTGCCCCCCCCACCCCCAGAGAAAAATAAGACTTTTGGAAACACCCAAATGATGGATTTGGAACAATGTTTGGGAAAGGTGTAAATTAGGCCCGTTTTCTCTTGGTCATAATCCAGATTTCCAATTAATTTGATAGAAGCACTTCCAGTTGACATTCATTCACCAATTTTCTGTATTGGTGCAGTTTTTTCCCCTCTTAAAGGCTGTTTTCAATACTGATAGCATACTGAGCCTGTTCACATAAGCTGTAGGCTACTTTCTATTTTTATTTATTTTTTTGCTGTGTTGGGTCTTCATTTCTGTGCGAGGGCTTTCTCTAATTGTGGCAAGCGGGGGCCACTCTTCATCGCGGTGTTCAGGCCTCTCACTATCGAGGCCTCTCTTGTTGCGGAGCACAGGCTCCAGACGCGCAGGCTCAGTAGTTGTGGCTCATGGGCCTAGTTGCTCCGCGGCATGTGGGATCTTCCCAGACCAGGGCTTGAACCCGTGTCCCCTGAATTAGCAGGCAGATTCTCAACCACTGCGCCACCAGGGAATCCCTGTAGGCTACTTTCTATCACAGCCGTATACTTCTACCACCGATGAAATTGTTCGTTCTAAAATCTTTTTATTCCAGTTTTTAAATTTTATACAATCTATGTTTATTATATTATAATTATATAATCTTATTAGACACTGTATACATCAATGAAACAAATACTGGAAGGAGAATTATTTCTAGGAAAACTAAGATGAATGCTTTGGATGTTGATAAAAACATGGCACTGTGCTTGCTGCCTAATTAGGTGTGAATGAGAGAATTGAGATCAGAAGGAAGGATCATACTAATCTAGAAAACATTTTCACTTAAACTGCTTGACAAGGGACCCTGTGTTCTTTCCTGCCCTGAGACTAATTGGGAATTTAATGTGATGTTGTGATAATTTTCCTTATATCTGAAGATTGGTTAAATAAATGTGTACTTTCATGTTTTAGATAAAATGCTTAAATTACTAATCAATTTGTGATTGTCCCCATCAACCAACTTTTCTTTAGCCAGCCATCTACTGGTCCTGAGTATATCATATAATCCCATTACCTAAATCTTTAGTCCTAGATGGAAAATAAACAGTGATGCTAGGATAGTTATTCCATTTTCTTAGATGAGCTTTTATAACACGTCCTAGTGTTTGCTTTTTTTAAAAAAAATTTATTAAGAAGATGACATATATCTATTTGGTTCCTGAGAAGGGAAAGGAAGAAATTAGAAAAGACTACTGCAGTTATCCAAAAGTTTTGTAGAAGTGTCATTGTTCTTTATTCACAGTAGATGCACAGGAAAGACTTGATTCATTCCAAAAGTAGAGTAGAGCCAAGATATTTGTTTTTTTAATTAATTAATTTTATTTATTTATTTTTGGCTCTGTTGGGTCTTTGTTGCTGCGCATAGGCTTCTCTAGTTGTGGCAAGCAGGGGCTACTCTTTGTTGCGGTGTGCGGGCTTCTCATTGCAGTGGCTTCTCTTGTTGTGGAGCACAGTTTCTAGGCGCGCTGGCTTCAGTAGTTTTGGCACATGGGCTCAGTAGTTGTGGCTCGCGGGCTCTAGAGCACAGGCTCAGTAGTTTGGCACACGGGCTTAGTTGCTCCGCAGCATGTGGGATCTTCCCGGACCAGGGCTCGAACCCGTGTCCCCTGCATTGGCAGGTGGATTCTTAACAACTGTGCCACCAGGGAAGTCCACGATATTTGTTTTAAAATCCAAAAATGTTTAGGAATTCTTCCTATCTCTTTTTGAAGCTGGTCTTTGAATATTTGTATTCCTGTCTCCTCGTGTTTTCTGACTTGTGCTGGAGTGACCTGTCTGAACAGGGGATAATCTTGTTATGTGCTTATGGCTGTGGAGAAATTAAAGCTGCTCTTGGCTAAGGACTTGGACTTGAAAGAAATGACTGTGTGATGTATACAATTCCGTAAGCTCACTTGTCTCCTCTACAGGTCCATGCTGTTCTAACACCCATGTAGGTACTTGAAGATGTGCTGACCTTGACCTCTTACAATAACAGAAAGGTTTGCAGACTTACAGTTGAGATCTTTTAATAATTTGAAAGAATTCTGGAGAGATTTTGTCTCTGAAAAATACTCACCATATGAAAATGCAAGGTACTTTTTCCTCGAGTTGGAAATCAGTGAAGTTTCTCAACTCTAATTTACTTTTCATAGGCTATAATATCACAGTTTTGAGAATTTCCAGTAACCCAGGTTACAGCACAGCTGCACAGTTTGGAAAGCAGCTGCCTAAATGGGGTGGATCTTGTCATGCTTATTTGAAAGGATGTTTGTGGTTGTTTGACAAAATGAAGAGCTTAATCAGGATACAACTTTTTATTCTGTCTCTCCCTTCTCTATATGCTGCCTAATATTTTTTTATTAAATGACTTCTCTGATAATTACAAACACTTGGTTAATGTTAGAATATTTTTATTTTAATACATAGTTGGACAAGTTGACTTTTTCCCCTTTCTCTCCACATTCATCCCATGAGAGTGGTGAAGCAACTACCAACATCTTTTTGCCATCAACACAATTATTTTGTTGAATGTATTTTTTGGTAAATCCATGTTCACCCTTGAAAAGAGCCTGAGTTAGAATTTTCTTAAAGCCCCCTTTGTGTAATGTAGTTTTTGAAGAAATAGACTTTATTTTTGAGAGCAGTTTTAGATTCACAGAAAAATTGAGTGGAAAGTACAGAGTTCCCATATATCTCCTGCCTCTACACACGCATAATCTCCCTCAGTATCAACATCCTGCACCAGATGGTTACATTTGTTACAACGTATGAACCTATATTGACAAATATCTATAGTCAACATCTATATAGTCTTGGTGCTGTACATTCTGTGGGTTTGGAAAATGTATAATATCATGTATCCGCCATTATAGTATCATACAGTGTAGTTTCACTCTACTAAAAATCCTCTGCGCTCTGCCTAGTCATCCTTCCTTCCCCCCTCCTCCCAGCAACCACTGATCTTGTTACTGTCTCCTTAGTCTGCCTTTTCCAGGATGACATATAGTTGGAATCATACAGTATGTAGCTTTTTCAGATTGGCTTCTTTTACTTAGTAATACGTATTTAAGTTCCTCCAGGTCAGGCTTCCCTGGTGGTGCAGTGGTTGAGAGTCCGCCTGCCAATGCAGGGGACATGGTTCGTGCCCTGGTCCGGGAGGATCCCACATGCCGCGAAGCAACTAGGCCTGTGAGCCATGGGTGCTGAGCCTGCGCGTCTGGAGCCTGTGCTCTGCGACGGGAGAGGCCACAACAGTGAGAGGCCCACGTACCCAATAAGTTCCTCCAGGTCTTTATGTGGCTTGTTAGCTCTTTTCTTTGCAGTGTTGTATAATAGTCTGTGGTCTGGATGGGCCTCAGTTTATTTATCCATTCACCTACTGAATGCTTGGTTGCTTCCAAGTTTGGGCAATGATGAATAAAGTGGCTGTAAGTATCTGTGTGCAGGTTTTTGGCTGTATATAAGTTTTCAACTCCTACGGATAAATACTAAGGAGTGAGATTGCTGGATCCTATGGTAAGAGTATGTTTAATTGATAAGAACCTGCTAACTGTCTTCCAAAGTGGCTGTAGCAGTTTACATTCCCACCAGCAATGAATGAGAGTTACTAGTGAGATGTATTTTTAAGTACATTTATTTTAAAATTTATAACAACCTTATAAAATGGGTATTAATGAGGTTAACATGCAAAAGTGATCAGACTCAAGGAGACTGACTATCCTGAGGCTAAGAAACTAGCCTGGGGGCTTCCCTGGTGGCACAGTGGTTAAGAATCCGCCTGCCAATGCAGGGGACACGGGTTCAAGCCCTGATCTGGGAAGATCCCACATGCCGGGGAGCAATGAAGCCCGTGCGCCACAACTACTGAGTCTGCACTCTAGAGCCTGCGAGCCACAACTACTGAGCCCATGTGCCACAACTGCTGAGCTCATGTGCCACAACTAATGAAGCCTGTGTGCCTAGAACTCATGCTCTGCAACAAGAGAAGCCACTGCAGTGAGAAGCACACGCACCACAACAAAGAGTAGCCCCTGCTCGCTGCAACTGGAGAAAGCCTGTGTGCAGCAACGAAGACCCAATGCAGCCAAAAATGAATAAATAAATAAAAATTTAAAAAATGAATAAAATCTATCTAAAAAAAAGAAAAAAAAGAAAAAAAAGAAACTAGTCTGAAGTCTATTCTAGTTCAAAAGTTTGCATTATTTCTTTTGTGCCTTAATGACTCTGCTAAATATAAGCCATGAAGGACACATAAAACATTTATAAATGTTTTAAGTTGAACTGTTAAGGTTCAACTTAAATGTATTAAGTTGAACTGTTTTTTTCTAAATGATCTTGAAACATTATAATTAGACCATCCATGCACTACTCTATATATGTTGAAACTGAGGTCTAGCTTGCTTAAGTGATAGAGTCATGGTGACACAGCTAACTAGTAGTAGGGCCAATTTTGTCCCAAGGTCTCTTGACTTTGGATATTAGCACTGGTAAGACTGATTTTCAAATATTGCTTATGGGATTGTCTTGCTACATTATATTGACTTTTATTTTTAAAAAGTTTTTTTTTCTCCTTAAGATTCAATCCTTTTTATTTAAATTAGCTTTAACATCTGTTTTAACAAGGAAAAATTTCTAAAGTGAAAATATGCCTTTCACCTTTCTAGTTTATATGAGTATTTTTTCCTACATTTCTTTTACTTTTAAAAAGTTTGGTTCAATTGGATTTTTTTAAACAATGTTTTGCTCTATTTGGTCATATATATTATTAAATTTCCAGATAAATTCATATCTGAATAACTTGGAAAACTTGAGCATTTTAAAGTGAGAACTGACACAGAAAGGTGTATGTGTCATAAAAACAAAGAGAATTTATTCTAGTTGCCACAATAGATCGTTTCAGTTATTTATAGCTCCTCCAATGTAGTTAGTACTTAAATAACAACACAATGTTCATCTTCCTACTCCTGCTTTTCTACTGCTCTCTGCTCCTTGCATCCAGGTTCAACATACATTCATTGGTCATCTATTAATACTTTGTGCCAGGCTTCATGTGAGTGAAAGTATATGACATAGTGTGTATGTACTCAGCTCTTTATTGCAACCCTGCAGAATGGACATGAAACTCACAGGAAAATAATATGGCTTCCTTTCTGTTCTTTAACTATTAATTACTCCATGAATGTTTTCCTTCTTGCTAATGGTTCAATTGTTTCTTACTTTAATTTTCAATACTGTCTTACTTTAATTTTCATGTTTTACCTCCTCAACTATATATGGCATAATTTTCCTCCCATAAAATGTATCCTACCATGATTGATCCCTTGGTTTACTGAACCTCAAAAAGATACTACACCAATTTCTTTTACAGCTCCTGTGTTTCAGCTATATGTCGTCCAAGCCAGCACATTTCTACCGCATAGCATTTGATCAGCACATTAGGATTACAAATACATTATGGGAAAGAACTTTAGTAATGATGATGGTAAGCATCACTTAAAAGTAACTTTTAGATAAAAACTAAAAAATAATTAATTGATGATTATTATGATATGTTAAAGAATCTTAAGTAAAAAAGATGAATTTTCTATTGGAAGAGTGAGCTAGAAAGGGAAGTTTAGTGCTGGTACCCACTCTACTCTCAAACCCAGATGAGTTTAGTTCCCCACTTGATTATTAGTTAGGAGGCAAGCAGTGTGCTTGAAACTCTGTCTTTTCTAACCTCATCTCCTTCATGGATGTCTTGGAGACAAGTTCTTATGGTTCTGTGTCCTTCTCACCCCTCAAGCTAGGTGTTGCTTGGCTGTTATGCTATTATAGTCCAGGGACTTTAATTCTCAATCTGACTATGAGTACAATTTACTAGATGTATAGTGTGTCTAAACTAGTTGGTAGCGTTGGGGTGAAGGCAATCCATTTCTCGGACCAAAGGTAGGTCTCCCTAAAACTTAATTTTTACACTGTTGCAAGAGAAACAAGTGTGCCCGTTGTTATACAAGGGAAGTAGATGATTTTGAAAACACTATTATCTTTTTTTTTTTTTTTTTTTCGGTATGCGGGCCTGTCGCTGTTGTGTCCTCTCCTGTTGCGGAGCACAGGCTCTGGACGCGCAGGCTCAGCGGCCATGGCTCACGGGCCCAGCCGCTCCGCGGCGTGTGGGATCTTCCTAGACCGGGGCACGAACCTGTGTCCCCTGCATCGGCAGGCAGACTCTCAACCACTGCACCACCAGGGAAGCCCCACACTATTTTTA